GTCTGGATTACACAAGACCTTGTGTGAATATATAAACGATGCATAGGTAAAGAGGAAAAGGTACATTTAAAGCTAGCCAGGTATGTTGGTAAAACAGAACTCTTGAGTTGGAAGTCCACATAGACCTTGTCTCAATCTGCCAATCAAGCAACAGTTAAGTCGGGAGAGCAGGGCATATATAGCTGAGCATCAGCATATGTGCAAACCATGTGTAATTTTTGTTTCAATAAACTTAATTTTAGAGTGGTTTCAAGTTACATGGTAGTACAGCTACAACTTCAGCACGTGGGAGGCAGTGGCGGGAGGCCCCGGTCGCCATGGGATTCCCATCAAAAAGTCATTCCCCTGCAGTCTACTCAGGCAACCTTGTTGGCAGAGTTGCATGATACAGTTGTCAAGATTAACCAGTATTGATAGGTTCTTATTAACTGACGTCTTTGTTTTTAGCTGATGGGCTTTTTCTGTGTCAGAATTTCATCTGGAAGAGAAATTACATTTTTGTCTTAGTTGGGGTTTCTATTGCTGTGAAGAGATACCGTGACCACAGTGACTCCTATGAAGGAAAAACATTTAATTGGGGTGGCTCACATTTTCAGAGGTTCAGTCCATTATCACGGTGGGACATGGTGGCATGCAGGCAGACATGGTGCTGGAGAAGTAGCTGAGAGTCCTACATATTGCAGGCAACAGGAAGTGGTCTGTGACACTAGAAGTAACTTGAGCCTAGGAGAACTCAAAGCCCGCCCCCATTGTGGCACACTTCCTCCCACAAGGCCACACCTACTCCAGCAAGGCCACACCTTCTAATAGTGCCACCCTTTTGGGGGTTATTTTCTTTCAACCACCACACACATTTAGTCATTGTTATGTTAACTTTTTCTAGGGAGTCATGAGCAAACTTCTACTCACCCCAGATAAGACACCTGCCCACAACAGACCAAAGACACAATCCTACCTAAGTCCAGCTTGGTGAACCTTCAAGTTTACTGGCTTACTTCTAGGAGCGTGGGTGACCCCAAAATGACCACATCATTGAAAACTCTGGTGACCTCAGGCATGTCAACTTCCCATGGCTGGAAAGATGGGGCACCCACTTTGGGAAACCTTCCAATTGCCATATGTTCCTTTTAAGTCTATATGAAGCTGGGGTAGAATTATGTATGGAGTTTTAAGTCTATATGAAGTCTGGGGAGAGGAGGCAGGAGGGTAGCTAGGATCTCAGGTGAGGGTCAAATGCCCCTCCCTGCCCAGTACTTGTGTGAGGGAGCATCAACAGGTCTGACTGTGAGGGTCGCCACGGCTGCTCTCATAAAGAACAGCATTCCACCGCAGACATTATAGCATATGTTTGAAAACACTGGAATTCACGTATATTACATATAAGATTTGACCTTTACTGCAGATGGAGTCCAATGGATGGGCACTTTTACCTTGCAAGTTCAGCTAGTTCTGACTGTAGACACCAATTAAAATGTGGTTTCTCTGCTGGGCTTCTAGTGTGACATATCACCTTGTAAGTGCCATGTACAGAGAAGTTCTGATAAGCCAACTTTAAAAAAAATAAA